CCCACGGATGCAATGGCGACAAGAACAGTGGCAGTACATTATAATGGCTGGTTCAGCAGCCACGTCAAAGGCAAGCTTGAAATCACTGAACGCCTTCCAATTAACGATAGACGGATCTGTGCGAGCCAACTTACGACCGTGCAACACAAACATATTACTGCCTGAAAAACTTCAACTGAAAATGCATCAGTGCTCCATTTGCGGACCTTGAGAATTATCACGGCCCGAGGAAACATTATTGACGTCCGCGTCGTACGTTCTTCTCACTGGGTTTGGGTCATAGTGTGAGCCGCTTGCAAGCATTGGCCTTGCGCCTTTCATCCTGCCTGTCTGATGGCTTCAAGTCCACAGCATTCCGTCAGTGACCGTGGCTCCTATAGCTGACCTGTCATGCGAGCCTCTACCAATCGATGAACGCTTTAATTTGAAGTTGAGGACATGACCGCGAGGCAAGTCCAGCAGCTTACAATGTGAATCAGGTCCAGAGACGCATAGGCGTAGCGGATCTTGAAAGAGGAGAGTGGAAGATCGTGCTCTGCTACCGAAAAAACTCTGACTGATCTCGGCTCGCGCAAGTTGGCCCTCTTGCCCTTTCCTCTTCTTGCGTGTGGCCTTATCTGTCCAGCGACAGCACATGAAGCAATCAAAGCATTTTAGTAAGATTGCAGCTCGCCTTGGGAAACTTCGTCGAGTCCAACTGCAGGAGAAATTGTCAGAGTGAACCCTGCTGACTGTAGCTCTTCTTTTTGTAACTCCTCTACGCGGACGAAACGTGGCGACGGCCCTGGGCGCTGAGTCTGAAACCTTGAACACATGCCTCTAATTTGCATTTTTTATTCTTGGGTGGACGTTTCCCTTGTCTGAGCCCTGTGCCCTCTGGCGAACTAAGAGATTGCGTTAATGTGACTTGACTGTGCAAAGCTTGCTGCCGCGGTTTCATGCGCTGATGTGACTAGGCGTGCTGAAAGATAACCTGTTTTGAGCCTACCTTGCTGCTTTGGTTTTCTTGGCTGTTATGTGTTGGCCGGATTTTCTGTGGTCCTAGCCCTATCCACTCTGCTGGTATGTGTAGACCTTCCCTGTTCTCTGTCCTGTCGTGCTTGATGGCAACATGCCTCCTTCCATGCCCCGTAGTGGACCTTATCAGGTGAGTTCGGAAGCACTCGAGATGTGCCTCAGTCGAACAGAGCATCAGGCTACGGGGTTTACACAACGCGCTGGAGCTCTGGACAGGCAGTTGCTAACTTGCGAGCGCGTGTTGATGATGGGGGCATGGTCGCGAGACTAGATGCCGTTGAGGCTAGAAGAATTTTTGATCTGGAACAACAAAGAAAGCTCACTAGCCAAGCAGGTCCCTGGCTAGATGACTGGGTTGCTGACATTGACCGTAGGATGAGCGTGGTGGAAAGTCGTACCACTGGACCTAGACAGCGCCTGCTTGCGGCTGCCCAACGCCTCTCTCTCGACGCTCTCTCGACGCCTTTGCCGCTGTGTCAACGCCTGTAGAATCCTCTTCCTCTATGTACGTATCATGCGTTACCTGTGAGCTGGTCTTGCAACGCAGGCCATCTACGAGCCCTTCCATGGTGCTAGCTTTAATCCGTCTGTCAGGCAACCTGGGTAGTAGTTCGCTTTCAATCTGCTCCTGCTGGCCTGTTCCTCCTGATCTCGTTTCTGTCGATAAAAAAACTGCTGCAGGGGTGTGTGCCACATGAGGCCTGCTGTTGCGATACAGTCGAGTGTGCGGATGGCATTGTTCCCTCCTCCTGTCTTGCCACTCAGGTCATCCTTGCCTGGCATGGTGATGAACCTCTTCCTGAGGAGGAGCCTGCTAGACCTTGCTTTCTTAGCAAGACTAGGCCACATCTTGCGGAAGAGACTCACTCTTTTTGCGTGCCAGCATGTGATGATACATGGCATTAACTTCAGCCCTCTTGTAGGATGGCCATGATGAAGCCCTTACAGAACTGGACTTGACAGTACCGACAGATGGGGCTACATGATGAGTGATTTTGCCTGGGAGTGTTAGAATGGAGACACCTGTCTGAACCGATCTGAGCCCTTGGTACGTGGATGTAATCTTCTTTGGCATGCTTTGAGTGCTGTACCTGCGTGAGTGTTACGTGTCAAACAGGCTGACACGGAGATGATGTACTCCCTCCTTACAGCCCGCGTTGGCAGCAGGTGTTTGAGGGTCAAGATGCACTTTCTTTGAAGGTCCATGAGCGGGTCTCACTGCTCTGTGGTAACCTGAATACCAGGTTATTTGGAAGACTCTCGCTTACTATCTGGCAGTGCGAAAGTGCGCTCGCGGATTGAATGAGTGAAAGATATGATCTCAGTAAGCTGACGATCTGCGCCCTGTTGGAAAGAGGGTTGAAACTTGTGCCAGTGGTTTGCGAGCTCGTGACAAGCCGGTGCCGTTAGTTGCATGAGTCATCGTGTCGTATAATCCGGTAATGGAATACTGAATCTGTTTTTGTATATCAAAAGTGATTGGCCACCGGCGAATGAGCCTTTCTTCTCACAGCGCCCATGGACTTACACGGAATAGGATACTGCAAAGGACTAGACGAAAGTCAATGCCAGGATTCTGGCCCATCCCACATCAGGAGGGCTTGCGTCATACAGATTTCCTGCTGAATTGTGCTGTCGAGGTGGGAACCGTCCGGCGCGGCCAGAGCCAGCAGCCCCTGCCCAAAGCACCCAGACGGCCAGGGCATACATCAGGCCATTGCTGCCAGAAAATCCAGCAGGAGGGAGGTCATTATCAAAGGGTTGGCCAAGGAGTCTGCTGGATGCCACCTCTTCGCAGCAAGCTGGTTCATCATTCCCCCTTTCATCCATCACGGGGATGAGGGTAAAGACGCGAGCTACAATCCAGACCCGGGAAAAATTGTCTAAAGATGTGCACGCGTAGGAGCTTGGTGCAACGCATCAAAACCCTCCAGTTCCTGTTGCATGAATCACAGTTTACGCACTTGTGTGGATGAAAGCCTCATGGAGCCCCAAACCCGAGACCCCAATAGACCATTCTTTCTGGGCGATGCATGAGGCCCATGCTATGCTTTTTGTACGAACATTGGTGATGATGATGATGATGATGATGGCCGCAAAGCGTTGAGTATCATGATGAGTCGGTAGTTCACAATCTGACACGCACTTCTCTTAATAATCGACGTAAAGCAAAGACTCAGCGAGTAGTTGCTACGGTTGTCCCATCAGCTTCAAATTTCGCATAATTATCAATTGACAAGGCAGCGGGGCTCGGCAAGTGCGAGCCCATTTGTTGCGAAAATGCCAGGCAGCATTTTTTTTTTCCGTTTATTTTTGACCAAATTGTTGATGTTTGGCTTCATGCTCCATGTCTGACCAGACTGCTGGCACAGACTCCGCGCCAACATTTGGTTTGCTTTTTTTGGTTGCATGGTTGTCCTTGCGCGCAAAGCATTCGACTCTGCAGGCAGCCCTGAAAGTCCAGCATACCTGCCCACGACAGCAATGTCGTTGCTGCCGACAATCTGGTTCCCTTATCATTCCCTGTGATCCATTTTTGTCCTTCAGACTGCCCAAACAATCTTCTTGCAACCTTCACGTTCCCTGAACCAAGTTATGAGGGCCTTGCCAAGAAGTGGACACCGCCCTCTTTTCCTCCTCATTCACCTTCTTCAAATTCATCCTATCCCATAGCTGGACGCCGCACGAAAAAAAATGTTCCATCATCTTTCCACGGTTCACTCGCTTCAAACTTCAAACTACGTCACGCCAAGTCTTTGCGATGATACAACACTTTCAACACCCATGCTTCCCGACAACACGAACAGTGGGTACTCTGTGAAAGACAAACAGCTTCTAAGGAAAGCGTACACAAAGAACGCGTGCATTTCATGTCCTGAATCACTTGATGCATCAGAAAGAAAATGGAAAAATGCGGTTGTAGGAAGTAAAAATCTGTGTTACCCAGACTCATTTTGCGAAGAGCGAACAGAGTTCTTCAATGTTTCATAGTTCGGAAAGGCCTGAAGTTGAAGTTGGGTCTTGGAATGAGATGGAATTGGAGATTGTAAGCGGAATTGCAGGATGGATTGCATACATTTCGGGGAGCGTTAGTTCCACCTTAGAAGAAATCTTGGTTAGTTGCAAATGCAATTGACGTGATGCAACGTTGCAATTTTCAATGACAAGACCTCTTGGAGTTTGCAGATTCAAGAAAGTGGGTCGTTCCAATACAATATTGTACACAGCAGTTTTCAACCGAACGGAAATCCAATTCAGATTTGTGCAACTAGGACCAGGGCTCAGGCGTATTTATGTATTCAACCAGGTTGCAACATGTCTGAAATTCAAAAGGTTTTTCCGCACCCAAGAGTTTGTCCAACCCATAGGTCTTGGGATTTGAATCGCCTTTGACGTCCTTTTGCAGTCACCGGTTTGCGGTTTTTTGGCCGGAAAGGTTTTGTTTCTCTTGAAAAGGCACGCGTGTGCATGTCTCGCGAGTTGCAACCGAGACATGCTAGTTATCATGCTAGTAGAGGCAATGGAGAAGGAATTGAGCTCATGGGATGCAAGTACCTTGGGTAAGATATGAAAACGTTTCAGATTCAGCGCTAGACTTTTCTGTGTAGGGGCGCCCGCAGTTTAGGCACACCCATAGTTCATCGTTCATCCCGTATATCTATGAATATCGGTAGGCTTTTCAAGGCCTCCCCATTTTCAGGATTCCTGTTTGCAACAAATTGTAGCATTCTGGCAGGATCGCGCAGCACGTTGTTGTTGTGTTGTTTGTCGAGACCCCGAGCAAGCGCACAGCCTAGAGCTACGGGCATGTTTATGCAAATCCATCGCAGATGGCAACCCTCAGTGAATCACGTCGTGAATTTGCTTGCGTTTCTCCATGTCTCGAGCTGTTATCCCCGCAGTTGGTTCAAGCTGTGTGTGTTATTGTCATTAAGCATCTCCAGTGCTTCGCTCTCATGGAGCTGCAAGCGCCTTTCCTGCCCATGGAGGATTCCAGTGGGATCCGTCCCAGCCAAGCACGTGTCAAGTGCAAATGGTTTTTCCTTGCGCTCGTGTGCTTTGTAGGTTTGGCATTGAGCTGCCATCGGACATTCGTATTGCATTCGGGCGAAGAAATGTCCTTGGATGTGAACCTTGCGGCCATCTTGCAAAAGAATGATCCTTGTGCACGGTTACAGGGTCAGTATCGAGATGAAACGAACTCAGTAAATGAGATTGACCTGGAACAAGACGGTTGCAGCGTAAGCTTTCAGTATCAGGAGACGTTCTATACAGGGTTTATCAACAAAAACATCCTGCATGTGAACGATAAGTCCTGGAGCGAGGGCGAGATTTTCTCTACCTTCATTGCCTTCGATGATGATGGGAAGTGGCTGTTAAACTATGCTGACATTTCGGGTCAGTACACGGACTCGAGAGGCGCCGCGCTAACAGTTGTTCAGAACGGGGACCAGTTCAGTACAACGTACGATGACCCGTTCTCTGAGAGTGCAGCGGGCACTTGGCAAGCTCTTCTTGGGTCAGTCAGTGAACGAGATGTCACCCTGAATCGCCCCCACGGTGCTAGTGATTCAGGCACGGTGGGCCTCGATGGGGTTGTCCATTTTGAAAAAGATGGAGTTGACTGGAACCTTGGTTGGTGCGATAGCTTTACAGGAGGCACATGCTTTGTAAGTGCTTGTGACTCAAGACGGGGTGCACGCTGCCAGCGGCACCCGTGGGTGCCAACCTTCTGGTGCCGTTGTCCGCCGTCGACATGTTCCAATGGGCAGGGCATCTGTGAGCCGAATGCAGGTGCGTATTTCCCAAAATTGGTTTCCCGTTGCATGCCATGAAGTCTGAACTCCATCTCGCTTCTAAGGATATCAAAGCGGTGCCAAACCTTCAGCCATTTTTTGGAATCCCCCCGCCAGGTCTGCAGACTCCCCAATATCCAGAACCAGCATGGTTTCGGCAGCAGATACACCTGACATGGTATGCTTTGATCACTCTGATCCTGGGGTGCTGTTCAAGAACCCAAGGGGTCCATGTAGGTACATAGCATAAAGGGCCCAAAGGGAATCCACACATGGCTAATTCATCATATTACGGAGACTTAACTTGCTGCTATGTATCCCTATTGTGGTCATTCACTTCGACCCTAAACCCTAAACCCTAAGCTTCAACAGCAGCTCAGGATCTTTGCACGGATCGAGCTGGTTGGCGCAGTTGTGTTCCTGAAGTTTTGGGAGCGAATGGACAGGGCCAGGGATGCCACTGGGTTGTGCTTGACTAGAATATATTGGGGGTATCCCAAAATTAGGGTACCCTTTTGGTCAGTCTATATTAGGATCCCCCCTTTCTATTGGGAAACTACCATGTAGGGTTTTCAGGCATTATATGAGGATCATAGAAGGTTAGTTTGGGGTTATATAGGGTTTATATCAGGATCATAAAAGGATTATTTACGGGTTATACAAGAGTATCATGGGATAAGGGAAAGGTGGAAACTACTTTTCATGTCTGCCTACCAGAATTTAATATAGTTGTGCGTTGACCATTGCAAGTTGGTATCTCAGCAGTATTGGAGGATGTGGATGTCAGACGGAACCGTGATGAAGACCTAACCTTGACATTGTCGAGCGCTGAGTGGCCAATGGCCTGTGATTTGGTGACCTTAAGGGCTTTCATGAGGCTTGTTTTTTTCCACTGGCTGCAACCAGTCATTTTCTTGCTGGTGTTTGTCGCGTACTATGATGTAATGAGCTTATGGCAATGCTGCTGTGCCTGTGGTGTTATCTTCCGTGAAGCGCTCTACGTGTTCAATACTGTGTTGGGCGTGGGATTTGCGCCGCAGTACCTGATGTGTACGCCGGATCAAAGCCTGGCTGCCATCTTCAACCTGCTCGCTCCTTCCTACTACGTCCTGCATGCAGTATCAAAATACCAGAGGTGGCATTTGGCTTGGCTGGCCAAATGGTTGCGATTCAGTTTGGTTTGTAGCATTTGCGGGGACTGCTGCGTGATCTTTCTGTTTTGCAGTGGACTTGGCTGGGGATTGTGCTGGTCCCGCATGTGGCCCATGGTCCTGGGAATTTGCATCGCGCTCATTGTCGCCTTGCCAGTTACTCTTATCTTCGTGGCAACTTGGCTTCATTCGAACCCACGGAATCCTCTGCAAGATAATACATCGGCAGCCTCTGCAGTTTGAATGTCGCTGTATACCATCCATAGTTCTTGCAAGTACCTCAGACATTTGCTAAAACCCAAAAGGTCCTTAAACCACAAGGGTAAACCGTTTAGAGGCCTTTTGTAGGTCGCTTGGGAGTACACATGAGAATCCCAGGTATGTCCATTAGAGCAGCAGCAGATGTCCATAGTTTCATGTACTTGCCACTGCAAAGCTGTGTCATAACCTACCTACCTAGCCTGCAATGCTCGCACATCCAGTAGTTCTCTATGAACCTTGCACATCATCCCTAGACTCGTATAAATCTGCTGAGGGTTTAGAGTTCAGGGTTTGGGGGTCCTTGTATTGTCCGAGTTCATCAAAGAGGATTCCTGGGAATCTCTGGAAAGCCTGAACAAAAACCTACCTCAACCCTGTCATTCCCCCTCAAAATCTATGCCCCTGGGCAAGTTTTGTTCTCAAAAGCATCAGCCTGAAACCCTAAACTTGAAACCCCAATCTAAACCCAGACATGAAAGCCTAAACCCCGAACCCAAATCCTGAATTTCACCCCTGTAACATCCTTCACAGGTATTTAGTGGCGGATTGTTCAAGCAAACTTGGCTGCCTGACCCCGAGCAGGCGGATCCTGTTTTGCTTCATGTGGGGGTTTAGGTTCTAGGGTTTTAGGAGCTTTGGGTTGAGGGTTGGGGGCTGAGGGTGGCTGTAGTTTTTCGCTGTTAGCCACAGAATTTGGCCCTAAACTATGCACCCAAAATCCTAAACCCTAAACCCTAAACCCCAAAATCCTAAACCCTAAACCCTAAAGCCTAAACCCTTTGAAGTGTTACCAGTACAGCCATCCTTGTTCTTGCCAGTTGCTCATATGGTTGTGCAGCCTGCGGCTTTCTGGAAAGAAGGTTTAGGGTTTGGGGTTTGTTGATCTAGGGTCCAGGGTTTTAGGGTATAAGCCCCCTAGGGTTCAGGGGTTTGGGGTTTAGGGTTTAGGGCCTAGAACGATAGTAGCGAGGCCTGGGTCTAGGGGTTTAGGGCCTAGACCCTAAACCCTAAACCCTAAACCCTAAACTCTAAACCCTAAACCCTAAACCCTACACTCTAAACCCTAAACCCTAAACCCTAAAGGGCTTAGGGTTCAAGGGTTTGGGGTTTAGGGTTTTGGGGTTTAGAGCGCCTGGAAGGATCGCACAAACATCGAGCCCACTATTACAACATGTTATAAGATGTTATGGTAGATTATGGTATATTCATATAGTATGATACTAGGGTTTAGGGTTTAGGGTTTAGGATGTTATGGCATACTATGGTATGATTACACTCCCCCAAACTAACATGGAAACCCATATAGCCCCATTTGAGAGGGACTATCGTCTTTATAGGCTCCCTTTTGGGTTTCCATGTTAGTTTCCAGGAGATCATGTATGTTATGGTATACTATGGTATATTCATGTGGTATGTTACGCATCTAATACTGGTCTTGGGGGGTTCCATTTTTTGGATCCCTCCGGGGGTCTGGATTGTGATCCGGAATTTCAACAGTTAGAACGAGAATCGCTTTCCTCATTTGTGTGATTGGTTGCCTAGTTGCGTGCCCGCTTCCGGCACCCCAAGAGATTGGTGCTTTAACTGGGCCATCATATTTGTAAGATGGGTAGAGGCTCCGATCCCTAAAGCCCCCAGTTGATACTAAACATCCTGCATGACCCACAGTACCTTATATCACTGGAAGTATAGTATTAAGGTATACTAAGGTCATGCAGGTTTTCTGGTATCAACAGTATCACCTTCTCCCGAAGTCCCGGATCTTTTGAGGTAGGATTTAGGATTCAGGGTTCAGGGTTCAGGGTCTAGGATTCAGGCGTTAGGGTTTCGGGTTCAGGGTTCAGGGTTTGGGGCTCAGGGTTTATTGATCAGAGTTTAGCATCTAGGGCTTCTGATTAGGTTGCAGTGATTTGGCTTTAGGATTTAGGGATGAACAGTTAGGGAAATATTAGGGAATGAATTGGAAAAGAAGCTGGAACATGAAATTGCGTCTACGCAGGGTTTATAGGGATGCGAGGAGGTTTTTTGTTCATTCAGGCTTCTGCTGAGTGCATGTAGGCTTCATGACGAAAATTGGTGGGTGTATATATGTACACATACATATATTTATATATGTTTATATATGAAGTATTCAATTGGGGAGAATAAATCCAAAAATGCAAACCATGCGTCTTAGGTTTAGGGTTTAGGGTTCAGGTGCATGTTTTATGTTTAGCGATCAAGAAGAATCCAAGCAGAGGGGTGCTAACAGGTGTAAACCCTAAACCTTGCACCCAAAACCTTTTGAACATGAGTACAATCATGTCTTGGCCGTGCATCTGCATATGTATATGTATATATATATACATATGCATACCAGGTCATCCACCACGCTACTGGTGACCCCAAGGTATACTCGTAGTCTTATTAGGGTCCCTTCGAATCTTCAATATACAAGAACTTGCCGTTCAGAACTTATTCTCTCCTAGAACAGCACGTGGCTTCAAAAAGTGCAAAGGCCTTGCCAAAGCCATGGAGCAGAGTGTGGCTGTGAGTCATGAAAGATAGTCATGGTTTACTCCTAAGTAATATGTTATAATATACAGTACTGCATCAGAATATAGTATTTTGTATTACATCATATTATCATAGTCCTAAATAGTAGCCCTGTATGATCCGATGGAATCCTAATAGCCCCTTTAACATACCACAGACACATACCCCAATTCCTGAACCGTAGATCCAAAGCCTCCAATCCTAAACTCCAAACTCACAAGCGCACCTTGCAGAAACTCTACATGCAGCTGACAGGGGACCATGACACCGCACGATCCAGGCTTTCACTTGGGCAGCGTCTTTTGCAGAGTTAAACCAGGGCATTCAATAGAGGTATTCTGGGAGGGTACAGGAGTGAGACAGTGGATTATCGACAGTTTTGCGCGAATTCTTGCATATTAGAAGATGTTATGGTTTGAGAAGATCCTCGGTTGGGAAGCCGGAAAGCTGGCTCCTTGTATCTTGGTGCATGCGCCCAAGCGCTGCAGGCGTCCCTGGGGCATTACTGCTTTCTAAACTCTAAGCCCTATCAACCTAAATCGAAATCTATTTCAGAACAGAGACTTTTCCAACGGACGTCCATCTGCACCTATTCCTAATCTTGTCTTTCTAGATCTGATATTTTCAGGCGTACCCAAATTTTGCTCTTGCCGAAGCCCTCCAAGCACCCCCTGGACGTGCTCAGCCCTTAATCCGAAGCCCTTACTTGCAAGCCCTAATCCCAAAATGGGGTTAATGCAGGGGCCTAACTAATTACCAATATTATGGGTCCATACTCCTTATATAACTATGGTCTATGGTAAAGCCAAGCCATAATTCTTACTCCTGACCCCTGAGCCTCAAGCCCGCTCTTAGGTTGAAACTCTAGGCTCCTAGTATGGGCCCTTGATCCACGGGTTCTTATATCAACGGCCCACAGTGGGGAGGGGCCCATAGGAGGGACCCATGGTTAGGACCCTAGACCTGCAGACCCCAACATCTTAGGGATTATAGGGTCATCTTAGGATTATAGGGTCATCTTGGGATTATAGGGTCATCTTGGGATTATATTGGGATAATGGAAAAGAAAATGGAAACTACTGTAGTATTTCATCTTGGACTCCAGAAACTTTGGAGACACCTTCGCTGCCGACCCTTCTCTTGCTTAAAGGCCGGGGGATACGGGGGGGGGTGCGTGGGAGTTTTGCACAATCGGGGGCGCTTAGGCATCGTGAAAAAACAGCGGGTTTAGGGTAAAGGGTCTAGGAGCTTAGCAAGGATTGTGTAGGAATCATTTGGATGCCATAGATCTGCCAAATGCAGCACTTGTGGTTGGAGGCTCGCTTGGTTTTGCGAGTCTACTCAGTAGAAGCGGTTTAGGGTTTAGGGCTTAGGGTTTAGGGCAGTAAGTCTACCTGGTACCCATGCAGTATGGGGCCGACGCTTGGGGTTCTTGGAGATAACAAGTAGACGTACTAAGTCAAAGGAGCCATGACGGGGATACCTAGTTTGGGGGTTCCGGGCTTCAAATGGTGCCAATTGGGACATGCCAGGAATACATAGCCCTCCAAACTTATCGTAAGGGGGATTACTTATGGTAAGGGGGATTGTTCAACCCTGAATCCTTCAAGATTTGTGTTGGGTTTGGGGAGTCAGGTTCGGGTTCGCCTCGGCTTTTGCTTAAAGGGTTCAGGTTTGGGCTTTTCTCTTTGATGTGGAGGCTAGCCGATGCTTCTACGAGTAGCGGTTTTGTCATGATGATATTCTTCGCATTATTAGCGATTTGAGCAAGATCCTCATTGATTACATCAAGTCGGTAACCCGCAATCGCAAGGGGCTTAGAAGGAATAGACCGTCTGTAGCTGCCAGGCAAGCGCCACGTCCGTGACGACGCCAAGACATCATCTGGATCTGTCGAGGAAGGAGGCTCATGGATTTTCTCCACTTTAGTGTGGGGCTCATGGGTCTTCATGGGTCCAATGGAGGCTACGAGGGCACTTAAGGCGCCCGTCAGGAACCTTGTATTGAACAGTTGTAGGGTTACTGAGGATTGTGATTCTTCTTTTCCGCCGCCAAGATGTTTTTGCAAATAAGGGGGTTCCCTTGCTTTGATGAAGCAGTTTTTGTTCAATGTATGCGCAAACACCTTAAACCCAAAACGCTAAAAGCCAATTACTCAAGATTCGACATGTTAGACCTCAGAGTCAAAGTTTCTCTTAAGAAAAAATGCGGTTTCGGGATTGGAGCTTAGTGATCATAATGGAGGGATCATGAAATGGAAGCTGGATGTTACGGGAATATACAGGTGTAGGGATAGCACCCCAGTAGTGGTGAATCAAGTGGAGCAGAAAAAGGGAATGACATGGAAACTGTGTATATACATATGAGACATTGTCTAAACTCCTGGTATCCCCCTTAGTGACTCCTATAGTACTTCCCTACATAACCCTGTTTAAGGAGTGTAGACGTTAGCTCATATGAGTCCCAATACATACATATATGTATATATATATAATACACAATCGATCATGGCATTACGCGATCGCATCCGCTTCTTAGTGAGTGGGGGACCACTCGACTCCCTCTCACAAGGAAACCTCCCTACGCCCTAATAGTATATGGTAGGGTTTAGGTTTAGGGTTTAGGGTTAGGGTTTAGGGTTGGTACAATGATTGAATGCGAGGAGGATGTTTATTGGTGGGCGCGGGACCACTTAAGCGGAAGGGCTTTGCGCTAACGCCGTGGAAATCCGAGCCTGTCGCAAATTGCCCAAATTTGTGCCAACCATCCGTGTACCCCCTTACCATTTATCCTTAACCCGAAGCCTTAAACTCTAAAGTGTAGACTAAACCTTGAACCCAAAAACGAGCATGGCCCGATCCAGGTTCGAGGCCGGCGCTGGTAGAGGCCACTGGGCAGTACTTGCGGCGTATTAAGGTCAAAAAGGCAGCGTGGTTGTGATATGAAAAATAGGTCTATATAGGGTTAGGCGCAGGCTGTTACATGCCAGAGCAAGGCGAATTACACCCTGACTAGGAGGTTTCACAGAGTTGCGGCTTAACTTGCTTGCTGTCAGGAAGGAATACAGGAACGGAGAAGACAACAGAGACATTCAAATTGTTCGGATTATAGTGGCTACAAGATGGATCCATCCCTACATTTCCTAGTAACGACCAGGGCTATAATGGTGACGGTTTAGGATTTAGGGTCTAGAGTTTTTGGTTTAGGGTTTTATGTGTCAAGGTCCGGATCTTAGGGCTTTGAGTTTCAGATTTCAAGGGTTTAGGGTTTCAGCTCACAGGGTGCAGGATGTGTTTAGGGTAAACGTTGTGGCTCCTATGGGTAGTATTCTATTTGGGGATACTATGGTGCCCAATATAGAGTAAGATTATTTCCTCCTTTTGGGGTATAGTATTTTGTATAAGGAATATTATCTTACTGGGTTTAACCACCAAAAAAACCGTTACTCATATGGGTTGCATGGTAAGGACATTTTGTTGACTTCCTAGGGATCATCATCCAAGCCCTTCAGATTTCGTGATCCTGGCCAAGGTGCATAATGGATAAAGACAGATCGTCAGGAGCATATATGGTAGCTGTCAGCCATGTATTGCAGACATCGCCAAGAAGTTGTGCAGAAGGGGTTGATCAGTATACTGTTGCTACCGTATTTGTCTTATTTTTGGCCCCTGTTTGCAGTCTCTACTGGAGGTATGGCCTTGTTTGGCTATTAAGCATTGGACAGTACCAATAATGCTACATTGTCGTGGAGTAAGAGGCATTGAGCTGCACAACAATTACATTGAAAGCAAGACAGCTTCAAAGGTAGACCACTGTCGCTTGCGATTGGGCACTGGACGTAAGGAAAGCAGTCTCAGAAGGATTGCTACATCCATGTCTTCTGGAAGAATACTTGAAGAGACAAGAATGAAACTGCCATAAATGTGGAGTGGGCTGTTTTCTTTCATCGGTTTCCAGTTTTTTTCATCTTGCTAGCTGAATCCCGGGACCTGCAATTTCACAGGCTGTGGAGACGCCACAGACGGTCGAGAGTGAGGGGTGGGTGAAGATTCAGGACAGACCCCAGGGTTTCAAGGCTGTTCTGTGGCGCTCTTGATCAAGCAGGTTGTTAATTGCAATAAGGCTTGGCAGTGCGCTGTTTGTTGGGGTTCTTGGTCCTTCGGCAGAAGTTCCCAGGAGTCATCTGATCTTGTGAACACTGCGGAGGATTCGCCCCCTCAGTCACCAGTGCCTCGTCGTCTTCACGGGAAATGGGTCTTGAGTCTTGAGTGATTTATATGGAGATCTTGATCAGGAGGGTTGCCTGTTGCTCATAGAAGTCGTCTTTTGCGCGGAGCCCACATGAGAGTCTCTCAACAGAATCTCTGTAGAATCCCTGGACCCCATAATGCACTTGAAATCCTTATGTACCCGCAGGATGACTAGGAGCCCTTTTTTGGGGGTTTGGGGTTTAGGGTAGTCGCATCTCGCTCTGTGATAGGCTGGTTGAGGGTTTAGGTTTTCGGGTCAGGTTTTGGGTGGGACTTACAGGAGATTCCTTAAATTCGCCAGAGGGAATCTTATGCAATTTGTGTCCACAGCTCACCTGAAGACTTCGCGGAATTCAGCTTTAGCCACCCGAATCTTGTTCCCGGGGCTTGGGGTTTAGGGTTTAGGATTTAGGATTTGGGGTTTAAGAATTTGTCGAGTTCCCATTCTAGATAAGTGGAATCAGAAGAGTGAAAGGGGCTTTCCCCGCCCAATCCTTAATGTTTATCGCCGTTTCTGCTGTGGTGTGAGTTGATTTGCGGGGGAGAAGGAGAACTGAGAAGTAGAAGCTTATGATAACCACTTACATACCGATCTCCTTTCCTGGTGTTTACTTGTAACCCTTTTTATAGCGATAGTAGAAGAAGCCCGTCCAAATGCAACAGCGCCCCTTATTACGAGCGAAGAGAGCCAGGTGACAGCTTCCTGGGTTCAAGGTTTGGCTTGAACGTTTAGAAGAAATTGCATAGGGATGGATGAGGATTCATATGGGTTGTGCGCGTTGAGTGGTATCATGTAAGCTTCCATGGTGCCATAAAGGCTGCACGGAGTCTCATGCACTGATCTGAACAGTTGTTCTAAGGGTTATGTCCATCACTGCGTTCACGCCAGCGTTGTCAGCGACAGCCGTGAATTTTTGGAGACCGTCTTACCGGCGAAGGGGCAGAAAGTGCAAAGCGCTCAAATGGCATTCGTTTCAAGGAATCCTAAACCCTAAAGCTCAAACCCGAACTCCAAAACCCTAAGCCCTCAACCCCAATCCCTAAACCCTAAAAACCTCATAGACGTTTCGTGAGAAGACACAGAAGGGGTGGGAGAGCGAGGGCTGGATGATAAAGAGTGAGTAAGGCTCACCCTCACCTGGAGCCACGCGGTTCGGATTTAGGGGACTTGAGTAGTACCGCGACCTCCCAAATACTTATGATAATGGTTTTGATTAGAAAATTATGGGTATAGGGGCTGTTTCTTTGGCTTGCTGCGAAATTGGAGCATGCAGATCTTCTTGCTAACTAAGGTGTACAGGACACATCCTTCTCTGTGAAAGATACACAATACATAATAATCCAAATAGTACTGGAAGCAATAATGAGTGCTACTAGTTGCAGTCACACTGGAAATAGCAGTATATGTAGGAAAGCTGAAGTTGCGTTGTGATAGGCCTTGGCATCGCCCGTCGCGAACACGTTGGAGGTGTTGGCAGCCGTAGAGGTCTCGCCACCTCGATCATCAGTGCCATGTCTGCCTGGGAAACTCTCAATAAATAGCTACCTCCAAGAAGAGCCCTAACGGTTTGTTAGAAATTTGGGATTGATGTGAGTATTCTCAGCAGGGTAACTGGCGGCTAGCCCTGGCCCCGAATCCGAATCCGACTTTTCATCATTTATGGGATAGTCCTCTTTGATAGGTTTGGAGCTTCCCTGGCCCGAAGGGAGATTCAGGACGGACCTACTGAATCTTCAGTGCTTCAAACTTGACACCTGGGCCATTGTTGGAAGTTACATGAGAGTGTCTCAAAGCGAACCTTACATTCTTCTCAAGGGTTTCCACAGGATCTCCTTTTGATTTCTGCATATGTCAGGTGTGTGCCCGCGCGAACTCTAAACTGCAAAACCCTAAGCTCAAAAAAGGAACCCCTCACTTGCGCTAGGCTTTTGCTCCCGACCCGGCTTGGGGGTCTCCGCATGTGGAGATGCCGGAGGCCGTGGAGACGCAGGACCGCCTGCTGTGGCTTCAGGATTTCATATAGGTGCTCTAAACCCTAAGCTCTATTTCTTGAGAACCATTGGGATGATAATGGTCTTTAGGAGGATTATCCGAGCCACTGAATGAAGAGGTTGGTAACTCTATTCATCATTACCGGGCCCTCCGCCTAGCTCCTGTATCTTCCAAAAACACTTTTGGTCACCTGGCCTTTCTTTGGATTTGTTTTTTTGCTCTGAATGCTTGGTTGGCTTTTGCGTCTAACAAACCTCATGGAGCATTTCGGATGGATCAGCTGGATGTATCAACATTTTGGCTTTCACTCGTTCGCTGCCAGCGATAAGTGTCAATTTCTGAGACGTGGGAAAGAGGGCGTTCAGGATTGGGCATTCAGAGTCTGGATAGGCTTAACACAGCCCTAAGCCCTAGCCGAAAAGCAGGACTAGTACCAAAACGGCCATAAACTGGGAATTGAAATGATTCTAAGTTACCCTGTAAAAATGAATCATGCTGGACATGTGGCGGGAGGCGGTCTCTTTCAGTCAGGTTCCAGGTTTTCAAAATTGCGAGCGTAAGCCCTGGACCGGCGTTGGCATGTCCTTGTATGAAGACGCTGAAGGCGATTTAGAGTCAAGGGCGGGTGAAGATTCAGGACGGACCCCTAAGTTTTGAGGCTGTCATGTGGCCATCTCAGTCAAAAAAGGTTGTCTGTTGTAGTAGGGCCTTGGCAGGCACTCATGGTAAAGCTGCCTCAGAGTCATGTGCACCTTTGGCCCGAAACTCATTTTCACCCCATGGTAGGCTTCGACGTCTGATGTCGCGAACACCACGGAGCTGCTGAAGATTCAGGACTCGCGCCCTCAGTCACCAGTGCCCTGTCTTCACGGGAAATGGGCAGAAAAAAACACGACAAAAAGCAGCGGAAACAGACAGCTTATCTTGGATTCGTGAAACGCAGGTAGCGTTTTTCAGTGTTTCCCCATCACGCACCGAGAGTCCTGCCTCTTAGGCTTCCGAGACTTCTCGCCCGAAGAGAGCAGAAGAAGTGGAAGCGGTAGAGGTTCGGGACTGGCCTGCCGAATTCAGGGTGTCTGTATGCAAGCTGAAACGGTGGTCTGTGCTGTGCTACAATGAGGCCTTCCCTCCTCTTCGATAATCGTAATAAAAGAACTACTCCTAATAACAGTTTCAATAGTAATACCAGTAAAAATAGTAATAAGACTACTTGATGTTTGTCATTTTTCTAAGTAAGCCTTTTTCTCAAGCCTCTGGCAGGTTGCGTCAGCTGCTCTCGCGAACACGTCGGATTTGGCGATTGGGGACGCATCCCCTGCATCCTGTGTTCCTTGTCGTGATTTTGTTGGAGTGAGGTTCCTGTTTCATGACCGGGACGAGCTTAGGCAGAAGGCCATTAACTTAGTTTGTACTCAAAGGAGAATTTTCCATTCTTTGTTCATTTCTTTCTCCATCTTCTCTGAATACTCAGCCACCAACCTCCACCCCAAGCCATATGCCCAAGTCATGCGACCAATACTTTACAAAATTCCAGTCTTTCTTGCTTCCATCCCAAGACCTGGGGAGTCGGAGGAATTAAAGTATCCCAAAACAGCAGCTGGAGCAACAGAAATCATCGTTAGGCTGGATAGCACC